GCGTGGATGAGTTGCAGCGCATTTTTTTAGTTTATAGCCGTTTAGTTTGAGTCTGTTTGTTTGAGTGTGTACGTGTTCAGTTTGTATTGTTTCGAGTTTGTATTTGTTCGAGTCTGTGTTTGTTTGAGTGTGTATGTGTTCAATTTGTATTTATTTGAGTTTGAATTTGTTTGAGTTTGTATTTGTTTTGAGTCTCTGTTTATTTGAGTTTGTATTTATTTGAGTTTGTATTTCTTTGAGTCTGTGTTTATTTGAGTGTGTGTTGCAGTTTGTATTTCATGGAGTTTATATTTGTTCGAGTTTGAGTGATCTTTGTTCACTATCAGCGACTTCGGCAAGAGCGCGGTGATCGACCAGTTCGTGGACGCGCGCGTGATCGTGCGCCGCGGCGACGGTAGCCTCGTGACCGCGTCAGTGTCGCCGTACCCCGCCCTGCTGCACTCCTACGTCCTCGCCAGGAAGTGGGACGACGCGCTCAAACTCGCTCGCTTCGTCAAGGTTAGCAAATATTTGTGTTTATAATTTTCTAAAATATTGATGTTGTTTATTTTTTGTCATCGCTAATGTCAAAAAAGTCAATAAATAAACTCAATAAAACTGTCTGTAAACTGTAAATAAACTCAATAAAACTGTCAATAAAATAAGTGAAAATTTTTCCACTTATTTTATTGACATCGCTAATGATAATTATACTATTGTATCCTATGGAGTGTAATAACTGGAATTTGATATGACTGTAAGTGTACGTTGAGTTATATAATCATTTATCCTGAGATCACAAACATCAATTGCGTAACATATTCGAGTTAAAATAGTAATGAATGAAAGGACGAAACGAATGATGTTTTTCTTGCTAAAGAGTGAAAAATTAAAAGTAAATAGTAGTGAAAGAGTTAGTGAGGGAGCACCGAGAAGCTAATAGCTATCTTCTGCCACACTAGTCAATGTCAAAATTTCGCAGAAATTAATATTTTTATTAATATTCTCCTCACCGGCCATCAATCAATATTTTAAATAAAATGCAAATAGCAATGTAATAATATAAATAATAATATATAATTTATTATTATATTATTATTATATTATTAATTTATATAATATATAAATGATAATAAATAATAGCAATGCAATGCAAAGAAAAATAAGACGAATAATTATTTGCATTAAATATAACACGAGCATTTGTGGAGCAGGAAGACCTGGTGTGGGCTGTGCTGGCTGGCATGGCCACCGCCGGCAGGAACCTGGAGACTGCGGAGGTCGCTTACGCTGCCATCAACGAGACTGACAAAGTCCATTACATCAACAAAATCAAGGTAGCTTCCTTGATGGAATATTGTAATGTTTAATGAGAATTATTAACATTGTTTCCATTCAATTAACTTTTTCCAACAGCATAATGACAAAATATACATAACACCAAATTCCTATTAATGTGTTTTCATATTACTTTTCGACTTCAAGTTAAAGTTAAAACTATTTTGTAAAAAATAAAGATTTATAACGATTGTTTAAAATGTGTAAACTTTAGTGAGTCTTCCTCCTGTCTCGTTTTGGGTGGTTTCCATATGTTTGCTTGCATGAATATTTTGTGTTTTATCCAATGAAGTAAATTTTTAATCTGATATGAATTCGAAAGAGTCAAGAAACCGTCATGCAATTGGAATAATAAACAGTGTATTAACCAACATGAATCACTATGACCCACTAAAATCAAAAGGCAAGTGCGGACGTTAATGAATTGATTCGTGAAACCAAATTGTCTAGAATCCATGACGAGTCCGAAGACGATAGAGAAAAGGT